TGCCTGCTCTGTTTAAATATTATGATGATTAAGCACATGCTGTTTTCCTAGGACGGACAAAGTCGTAATAAACTATGTGGCTTTGATTTTTTAAAAAATACTTTTTCAAAGGGAAAAATGCCCCCAAACCTCCTTGTCTCTCCTCTGTAGCTCATGTCAATTCAATTTTAACGTAACGGTAACATGTGTTAGACTAGGATGGGAAATTGCACAAAATTGGCTTGTTTGGGAAGACCAGCTTTACAATCACTTGCATTTTTCCATGTTTACTTTAGGTGTCAGCACATCTCATTTTTACCAGATGGTTTTCTCGCTCAGGACGTTAAGCTGCTGCAATCAGATCTCCGATTTGAACATAGCCGTCAGGCAATTCAGGAAGTTCAAACTAACAGCAAAACAAAACTTGTTCCTTGTAGCGCAGGTGAGTTAACTTGGGCTGGTTGCATAACTGCATGCAAAAATCCAAACAGAAATTTGGTGGCTTCCTAAAATGGAACATGATTCATTGCCAGTGCTAGAGGCAAAGTGTGACCTAGCACAAGAAATTAATTTCAGGCCAGAACTTAATTGTTTATAATATTCAGCTCAGCCTCTAGTTACCTGTAGGAAGTTTTCAGACTGAATAAACACTTGGTTGATGCCATTAAGAATTTATAATCTAAATAGAGACAGAAAATAACTAGTGAAAGCAAAAGTTCTGAGGGCAGTAAGAAAACAAAAATATCAAAAGACTTCTTGTCTCAGTTAGTTTTGCATTCCCTTTGGTAATGAACAGAAGACTTGCCATGCTGAGTTATGCTTGTCATTGCTCCAGAAATGTGTGAACGTAGAAAGAATACAGAGTAGTATAGTGTGAAGGTTTAATTGATAGAGGTTTTGGGCATTGCATTTTTTGTCATGGTGATGAATGAATATGCAAGTCACGTTGTGATTTAGCAACATGGTCTCATCTGGGGGAAAAAAAACAATGGAACTGCCACTGTATGTGTATGGTTAAGCAGTTTCTTTAAACCTGGACATGCCTACCTTCTGCTGTTTTATACTTTTCTGGCTTAACTGGAAGTTATTCTATTACAATAGAGCTGATGATAAAATAGAATGGAAACAAAGGGTTCCTTAATGGAATTCAGATTCATTAAATTGGAGTTATTTACAGATGCCAGAAAGGAAAGGATTTTGATTCTGTGAGCTAGGAAACAAAATCCATCATTGAAAAATGGTTTCAATTCAGTTAGCAAAAAAGATCTGAAGCCAACTGTGACTAGACTCCTGTGTATGCCTGCCTTTCTGTACAGTTGCTCAGGTCATACTGTTAAATAAGGATGAATGATGCTTTATCACACTTTTTTGCATATATGAATTATGCCACGTTAATTTTTTCTTGAAGAGGTGAAAATCAGAATAAATTCTGGCTGTTACACTGAGTATTGAAATATGCTTGATTGGAACTTTTCAGCTGGTATTTTTAAAAAGAAAAATGTGTTCTGTTTAATATTTTGAATATTGTGATAACTATGAAGAGATGAAAGAAAATGGTTTTGGTTTTAAGGAAATTTTTATCTGCTTGTCAGAATCTGATATCCTCTGACCAAGTGGTTTTAGATACTTCACACGTGGAGGGCTTAACGTTTAATACCAGTAGTATGTACTTAATGTTACTTGACATTACACAGGATTTTAATTTAGTAGAGTGATACGGCATTGTACCTAAATCATAATTCCGGTACAATTCACATGCTGAATCATGCAGAGTGCAGCAATTGCAGCATACAGTTGAATCATAATACAAGTGTGATTAACATAACCAGTCTCCATAATACGCTTTATAATGTGTAGGTTTTGAGCATCTTGAACAGCAAGACGGTATCATGAAGGAGAGAAGCTGTGAAAATTATCTTCAGAGTTAATGCATGTGCAACTCTTTTGCCTGTTAGGAACAGAGAGAAATGGGAGAACTTAGGGAACAGAAGTTGTCTCAAGGCAGTAGAAGTTAAAGGAACTCTTGTTAGGCTGCGGAGGGACAGATTGGGCATCTCAGTCAGTTTTGTTTCTGTTAACATGCTACTGATGCTTTGCTAGCTATTTATAAATCTGTAAGGTGTGGCATGCAGAGTTTCAGCATCGAGAAGCTTGCAGTCTAAGATGGTAATAAGGTTTCCAGAATGGGGGTAAAGGATAAGGTTGTTGGCACTTGCTATCTCTTCCAACAAATTATTTTTATTTGACTACTAGCTAACGATGTTTTTTCAGGCAAAGTCTACAGGTATTTGATGTATGTCAGTTATCAAACAGAGAGAGAACTATTTAGAGTATACAATACACAATAAGATAATAGTCCACAATAAATTAATGAGGAAAACATAGAGTGACTGGTGCAAGTAGCTTGGGGGAGCATTTCACAGCCTGGTACGAAAATAAGCCATCTGACTTGGAAATTTCTTCATGCTTTGTCCAGACAGGATGCACAAAGGGAAGTAGAATCCCCCTAAAAAGGGGAGAATTACAAAGCTGGGGGCCACATACTTAGAGGCACGGATTCTTGAAGGAGCTGATTAAGATGAAGGGGGTGTGGAGTGTGTGTGTGGGGTGGGGGTGGGTGTCAGGGAGGAGGGTATGTGTATGTGTAGCGGCATGGTATCACGTGAACACACAGAATGAAAGGAACAGTTCTGCTTTTGTGATGAGACCATCTCTCTTGTTCATAATCTTTTCTTCTACAGCTATCAGTTGGAGTGCAGTCCCTGACCAACCTCTGGATGTCACCTCAGATGGCTTCCGGCAGGGAACAACAAAGAAGAGGATTGGGAGCCATCAGAGCAGGTGTGAGAATGTTGTGATACCTGGATGCATATATCTTATTTGTTAGCATACATGCCTCTGGTAGCTCGTGTGATGTGTAGTGCATTGTCAGAGCATAAAGAAATCTAGGGAGTGGAGAAAAAGGGGAAAGGTAGGGAGTGGGGGAAAAGGAAGAGTCACTGCGTAAGGGAGAGAAGGGGAGTTGGAATGACAAAAGTTGGATGAGGGTTAACAAGTTTATCCTATTTCTTCTTTGTCACTGTTGATTAAAGAGAGCATTGTAGATAATGGTGGTGGAGGGATTATGATCAATTTTTATTAAAAGACAGCTTATTTATTGGTGAAGTTAGCAGAATTTTTGCTTTCTATCTTTTGGGTTGATGACTGTGAAGGAAATGCATGTGTTGCAAGTCCTCTTTTTACAGGTTTTTTTGGGTGTTGGTTTTTTTTTTTTCTTTCTTCTGTAAGAGTCAGGCCAGCTGACCTGGATGTATGATTGTTAAAAGTGTTGCTTTGAAATGTGACTTTTCTGCCTTAAGATTTGGAAAGGTTATGAAATACTTGCAGCAGATTCCTAACACAAAACAAGTCACCTTTCCAGTTGTCATCTTGGCACTGTGCTCTTTACAAGACGACATAATCTTCTATCAACTATTAATGTTTAAAGAAACAGTTCCATCTTTTTCTTGTGGTTGAGAGAATTACTTGTAAACATCTGCAGACAAATTTCTCCATCTCTCTACACTTTCCTCACTTCAGGTGAGGTGACCAAAATTATCATTGGTCTGTGGAAGTTCAGCTTGAGGGTTGGGGTCATGTTTTGGTTGTTGGCTGCTTATACTACCAGTTTGTTCATATTGTTCATTTTTCCCAGGCTTTCTGGGAGAAGAAGGTAATCCTGACAGTAGTGAATAAAACGTTAAGTAGAGCTTAGACAATTCCTGTGGAGAATTCATTCACATGCCTGCGAGTTGCACATTCTGAGCTTCTTGAAGTTAGGCCTGACTTGACTGAAGTTTATCCTGGTATATCTAGTATTTCCAGATTTTCCCTGGAAAGAAGAGGACTGGCAACTTTGTGGTTTGTGACCAGCATTGGTGTCTGGGGTATCATTAAGCACAGGTGACCTGGGTGACTTAGTGTGTCTTTTGAGACAGGCTTTATGTGCACTGCAGAATATTAGTTTTCAGTATGTGGTGTGTAATGTACTCCAGAAGATGTGAGAAAGATCAAACAATTCAACCAACCCCTTTTTCTCAGTAGGCTTAAATTTGTTATGTGGCATTTGTGTATCAACTCTAAAACTTTTAGAGCCATCTGCTAGTTGCAGGTTTGCACAAAACTGTAGGAACTTAATTATTGTTGAGAGATCCTCCTCTCTTTTTCATACATGCTTGAAATTCACTGAAACATTCAAAAGTTATTAGAGAGGGCCTACAAGACTGTGTGATTGCAAAGGGGGTTTTCTTAGGAAATCAGAATTTAAAACAATGTCAAGGAATAAGTAAACTGTTTACACTTTTGTGATAAAGGGTCACAAAAAGAACTTTTATCATGAAAATAAGGAATTTATAGCCTTATTGGGGGGGTGTTTAATAATAAACAAGACTTGTATTTCTACCCTGGGTTTTTCCCCTCAAGGAATCTCAGGGTGATTGGTGGGGGGTGTCGTTTGGTCTGTCCTCCATCCCCCTCCCGCCCCACCCCCCCCAGTATGTTAGATAACACTAAATATCAAGGAAGGTAAAGCTGACTGACTAAAAGGAATTTGTAGGTAGATGTCTGGTATTTGCTTTTGTTAATTATTAATTAACTAAAACACCAAAAACTACAATATGAACCTTTGACAGATTAGCATGAAGATGAAATTTTAGACCATCTTTGCATGCCAATTTTGGGGTTCTTAAAAAAACATACTAGCAAAATAGGAAGGTTTTTTTTTTTTGATTGGTGGAGTTTTTTTCTAATGCTTCTAGAGAATCAGCTTGCACATGTTGGGAACTGAATCAGTCATTGTGAAGACAAGTGTATAAAGAGAATTTAATTAGAGAAAATAGCTGGGGCTTTCAAAAACAAACCATGCTTTATAAACAGCTCTTCTGGTTGCCTTCTCTTTGTGGGAAGAGAAGGGCTTAAAGCTGACAGAGATGCATATGGTATCTTTAAAAGACCTTTCAAACTTTGACTCACTTTATTTTTTGATGTCTTTGTATTTAACTGCACTGCAGCTGTTGCTGAGTGTGTCCTTGTCACCCTTGTGAAAAGCACAGCATTGTTCCAGATATTTCTGCTGGTTCTTTTATTTGTTCTGAGTAATACACAAAGTTTGTCAGTTTGAGCAAGCCTTTGGAGTCCTCTTGTGCTTGTTTGATCATTTCTGGGGCTAGTCCTTCTGGCTCAACCTTGCTGTAGTTGTGAGCTGATTATGGTGCAGTCTCACACAGATAACAATGGGGGGGTATTAAAATGTTCTCTCTGCAAACTGACAGAGTGCTGGCTGGGACAATGGGGACAATGCAGCTCTTTGACAATATAACATTTAGAACAAGGGGAAAAGGCAGGTGGGCAGCTCACATGGGGTAGGAAAAGTTAAATTGTGGAGAACTTTTTACATTCTTTGAGAAGATAACAATTTTTTTTTTAATGTAAAAATGTTCAGCTGGGATGTACTACTGTGAGCTGTAAGAGGAAGTGCATTTCTGATTTCTTTTTTCTGTCAGAATTTCTGATTTCTTTTTTTTTTTTTAATCAGATCTAAGATCTGTAAAGTGGAACTCTTCCATGCATTCCAAAAGCTGGTGACAAGCATTTCACAAGAGGATCTACCAGACACTCTCCGGTAAAGACATTTTCATTATATTTAGAAGAGTGAATTTATCTTAATGAAACTCAAAATACTATGATGATGCTAGAATCTGCTCATGAATCTCACTTTAGATAAGTTAATTGTTAAAATTTGATACTTGAAAAATATGGCATGTACGTGATGGGTTAGGAATACTCTCTTTTTGGTCTTCTTAATTGCCTCCTTGGAGAAATAGCTACTGCATCTCATATTAAAGGCAGACAGAAGAAATTGCAGATGCTTTGTTTGTTTGGAGTTAAGGTAAGAATTCGGGACAGCTGATCTCTTCTGAAGGCTTACTGTTTTTCAAAAGGGCAAACTCTGTTCTTGATCAGTGGAGTCTTCTCCTCTTGCACTAGACTCTGGTGTCTGTTGGACACCTCTGTAAGCCTCTGCAATTTGCTGTCTTGGCAGAAAACTCTACTTTTGGGTTTTTTTTTTCTGAGGTAAAGTAGTCTTGTCTGAAAGTGGCAGTGGACAGCTGGGGAAGAAGGAGTGGAGAGAGAGATGAGAGGAGGAAGTAGTATCTTTTCTTTTGAAAACACAATCTGTTAGATCAGCTGCCTGCAGCACTGTACCCTTCAAACCCCCCATCCCAAAATTGTCGTGAGGTTATTGATATCTGGTTGGTGTTTAGTAATTCTATCAAATGCCATTTCTTTTCCTTCTTGTGAAACAGAGTTTGAGTTAAAAAAAAAAAAAAAAATTATTTTTATTTTTAGAAAAATCTGGGCTAAAATCTTTTTTCATCTAAGTGTATGATGGAGTAAGAACTAGTAAGGTGAGATAGTGTGTAGGGCTCTTTCCGCAATGCGTATATTACATAGATGGAGACTTTTGGGAAAGAATAGAAAGAAGCTTTTGTCTGAGGAAGCCATACTTGGAGGTTTCTTTTACATTATTAGAAACAAGTTTGGTTTACCAGACTGGAGTTTCTCACAGTAATCATCGGGTCTGGCATTGTATTATGTGCGTTATGTATTTGGTGGTATTCCAGCCCAAATAGCTACCTACCGTAGAGCAGGGCATAATTTCATACATACAGAAACTTGTCTCTCACTTTGGCTTAGAGATTCTGAGAGATGTAGAAGGTTCCAAATCCATTGCCTTGGAAGGTTTATTTTATTTTAGACTTATTTCCAGCTATGATTTCACTAGCTCTGGGATGCAGTTATACCAGCTAATTTAACTGCTTGTAGCTGCTGATGGGGATGGTCCTGCAGCAGTCTCTGCTGCTACTGGCTCTAGATTCCTGTTTTCTCCCTTTATCAGTAGCACTTCTCCAACCTCATGGTGAGCCAGTTCAACTATCTAATGCGGCAGAAAACAATTTCCTTGTCTTCTGTGTTTTCTGTTGGACTAATGAGCTGAATTGGCTCATGGAAAGCTGAAACAGATAATAAAACCTGTGCAAAGGAAGTAGGAGGTATGTGTGACTGGATGCAGGAGAGAGACCTTTTCTGCCTTTCATGGTACCAAGACATTAGATGAGATGAACTTAGCCAAAGCAAGCACACCTTGGATCTTTAATTATTGGATCTTGCTTGCTTTTGAGTTTTGTGAATTAAAGATTTCAGTTACCTTCTGTGTCTGTAGAAGTGTCTCATAACTATTTTAAAGTTCTGATGTCATGACCCATGCTATTGCTGAGATGGTTTTGACTGATTCTATAACTAGAGATACACTTTCTCCCTAAATAATTTTTAGATATAAAATTATTAGCCTCTTTTGGGTGGGAGTTTGTCCTCACTTGTTTAGCCATCATTTCCTCAGAATAGAGTGGGAGCTGGTGCATTGTTGGGTAGGTGACTCATTGTGCTGATCATGTGCTGCTTACATAAAGTCACTTCACCTCCGGGCTTTTCTAGACTCCAGTGGCTTTGTAATTTCCTTTTGACTTTTTTGTCCTCTACCTTTTTTCTGTCTGGCCTTCTCCTGACAAAGTCCAGCTGATTTGCAGATGTGGCATCATTTTTAGGCTCCACAAATTCTTATTTATAAAGTAGAGGTGCTAGCTCACCAGTCAGCTTGTCCAGTTGCTTTCCTTTTGAAGTCTTTGTTTTTCCTACTCTTTGCTTAAAAAGCCAAATCAAAAAATGTCTTTGTATTGCTGTTTCCTTCTTCTCCCCTTTCCCTTTCTACACAATATTCGGATGCGTTTTCTTCCTTTTTCTTCCTTTCCTCTTTGTAGTCTGAATTTGAGTGGACTTCAGATAAGAAATCCCACACTCAAATTGTTTCCTCTAAACTCCTGTGTATTTAGCTGTTACGCAGTCTTGTATTGTCTTCCCTTTCAAACATATCTTGTTATCTCCTCCCACAAATGGCTGGCTCTAGTGCTATGCTGTCACCCAGTTTCCTTTTCCACTTTGCCCCTAAGTTCCTGCCCTGCCTCTTCTAGTCCACTTGTTGGGCTCTTGTCTCCCATCCTTTCTGCTCCATCAAGGGCGTCTTATTCTGTATTCCTTTCAGATTTGCTGAACAGCTTATCTTGGTAGTTGTAGGGTATATTAGGACAAGGATCATTCTTTACTTAACCCTTCCTTCATCTACTGTGGTCCACTGTCAGACTTAGGGTACTGGGGCAGTTAAAGCTTTATGTGGAACTAGTATACTGATTCTGATGTTCTTTTGTTTTCTTCTTTCCTGTGTCTAAAGCTGCTTCTGCTTTTTGTGCCTTCCTTTCTCTTTCGTTCTTCACTTCTCTCCAGAAGATCAGTGCGGGCACTGTTAAATTGGAACAGGTAGAGAGCCTACTGGGGGCAGAACTTTGCTGGCTCTCCTAAAAGGCAAGTTTAGGAATTTGTAGTGGTGTAGCTCAGCTAAGTTGCTAAGCATAACATTCAGCAGTTGTTTTTTTTCAGGATTTAGTTACTTGCTTTAAGCTGAGACTGTGAGAAGGAGGTGGTGTTTGGCTGGCATTAGCTAATTCTTCACCAAGAACGAGATAGTGCTGTATTGTGCTGTCCCACTTTCTTTCTTTCTGATAATTTCTATGATCTCTGTCTTCTGTGCCTTACTTAAGTTCTCACTCATGTCTCTAGCTAGACTATCTAAAATGTTATTTGTTTCTTTATAACCTCTTATATTTCACCTGCAATGTTTCATTCTCTTCTGTTGACTCCCTCTCACATGTTGTTTCATGTTAATGTTTTGAAATTACGTGTACATAAATCC